CTCCCGTATGATATTCAGCACTCTCTCCTCCTTTCTTTTTTCTGAAGCATTTATCTGAATCTATCTAGACGCTTTATATGAGAAAATGAGCGAAGTAGGCAAGTGGTTGCCACCAGGGAGATACTGTAGAAGCTTCAATAAGTGGTAGCGTTATGTCCCTATTTCTTTTATATAGTTTATATTGTAGGAGTATAGGGTACACGAACCTCAAATTCATGTTGGCAATTACTTGCTTGGGATACTTCAAATAACACTCCAAATTCATGTTTGCAATTACTTGTTTAGCACCTTGCAGCACTTTGCATAACACCGTTCTCGGCAGCCCAAGAGTTGAGGGTATGTAGGTGTCAGCAACGTATCGGCAGGAAACAGAAGGGTAGGCGTGAGTTTCAGGGTTTACCCGGAATCTTCAATGTAGTTCCTTTTTGGGCAGTACACAATTCCCTACCAAAAAACTAGGACAAACCCAAAAAATTAACTACATAGGAGCCCTTGGGTAGAGTTTGTACCACTGAAATCCCTTTACTGCCAGCCCAGAAGCCAAGAATGTTTCCCCAAGAAGCTTATGTTTTGCGCTTCCTTCTTCTATTTCTGTACCATTATCCTGCCCACGCACGCAAAGCCAACTTAACAGAGAAACGGGACATTGCCATGGGCATTCGCTGCGCAATGCACAGCTTGTGGTGCAGGATCCTGCACCAGTACTGCGGGGTTACCATCAGCAGTCTGATATTTGTGGGTATAGACCATGGTTTGAAGGAGATATTTCGGGCTTATAAAAACTCAGGAGTTTGCAAGTCCCTGAAAAGTGGGGGAGGGGATGCTCGCTCTCAACTGTATAGTTCCTATTACCTGCTACTCCCATTCCTGCTTTAATTTCCGCCTGGGGGTATCTCAGGCGCCTGAGGATGGGTTCGGGCTAAAAAAATGCCTGCGGGCGGATTTGGGAAATTGGGCTAGAAGCTGCTAGCATTCTTGTGTATACGGCAGCATCTGTGCTGCATTGTCATAGATGTTTGGGCTCCTCTTTGTAGACTTTGCCCATGGGATGGGCGAACATCGACTTGTGAGGTCAGCCCACCCTGGTCTGCTGTTGTGCTCTGTGTGTGAAGATTAACATGCAAGAATTGTCAAATGCTATGCGTTGCCACCTGGTGTGCCAGGGTACTGTGTTGCAAGCATCGCACCGAAACTTGCTGCGCATGTCTTGCAGACTTTGGGCGGATCAAGCTGCTGTAGAGCCTCCTTCGACATAGATTGCTGAAGGGCACAAGGATGACACACACGGCTCTAGATGGCGTACTCCCGGCGATTGCCCAGGAGTATGTCAAAGAAGGCTGCTTTGTTTGCAACTGATCTCACTCACATGACAAGGTCTTCATCTTGGGGGTTTGTGGGCACCAGATCTCCAGGACCATGTCCATCAAGCGAACGTTGAGCGAAATGCTGTCGAGGTTCACTATCCCTGTCCTTTTAGTTGATGGCCACACAAACAAGGTTCCTGAACTCAAGATGTGGTGTCGCAAGGCATCATCACCCGCAATCTTCTTGGCTAGGCCCTTCACTGTTGCCTGCTTTTCACCCATGAGGCCCATGTCATCATCAGGAACTGTCCCCATGGCTCACCTACAACGATGCCCGCCCTAGCTTGGCAACTATTGATAAACAAAATCCTGCATCAGAATGAATAGAGTTTGCCCTCACCTAGGCCACATGTGCATCTGCGAACTCAAACGCTGGCAGGCGATGGCAAGTGGGGCACGAGTACAGCTTGGAGAACCAGAGCCATCCATCAAGAAGCCACAGCCGCGGACCTGCGTAGGCATTAAGGGTTACACTTATAGCTGGGCCTACATTGGCTATAAAATTCCATCCAACGCTTCCAATCTTTTCACACGGCCCCGCACAGATTCCCCAGTTCTGGTCGCAGGGAAGACCTAGCTAGGTAGCAGCACTAAGAAGCGGATCAAGAACGGCCCTTAAGGCCCTCAGTCTTCACGTCTTGCTCGATGTGACACACGTGCCTGGAACATAAGTGGCGCGTTCTGTTTAGAATGCTACTCCACACACACACACACACTGCGTGAACAATTCTTGCTAGGCCCCCTGCTCTACGTCCTTTCTCAGACCCATCACCACGAAGAACAAATAATGCACAATTCCACCACCACGGAAATTCTCCAAGAGCTCCATAGCTCTTTCAGAGGACATTGGCACCTATTCAATTGCAAAAAACGGAGCTTTTCAAAAGAGCAGATGAAGCAAAGTATCATCTAGATCACAGATGTGGATGCCTGGGGCTCAGAATCAGTGAAGATGAGCTCTTGGCAGTTCATCCAGAACATGTCCGGAAGCGAGTCCAGACCTTTAGTTAATGGCTTGAGAGTTAAGGGTCGGGAGCCTGTCTGCTGTAGATGACGTTAGGGCAGAGGTGGTGGGGTTGAAAATTGGGGCAGTTACAGGTAGGGTACTCGATCTTCCACAACGCATGCCCTTGCAGGTTGCCCAATTGCGGAAGGATTTGGTCATGGCAGACGACGCCGTGAGATTGCAGGTGGATTCTACATGCTTGCGGTCAATGGTTATGTATGTGATCCGAAGGCATGATGGGTCCCTTCGACAGGTTTCATGGCTGGTAAGAGAATCCCTCTGATGTGCATTCATTGGGCTGCACCTCCCCCAGCGCTTTTGTGATTCTAACTTAGGACACCGGTCTCCGCTGCTTGTATGAGAAGATTACTCAATGGTGGCAACCTAGGAAGAAGAAGACATCAGAGAACTTGGGTGAATCCTGCGAATCCCTCCCCCAGAGTGACTCCCCGTCTTCTGACTCGGGTATTGATTACATGGCGTTTGATACTGATGAGATGGCAGATGAGGATCTGAGGAAGGCTTTGTTGCAAAAAAAACAGTGTAGAAGAATGATGAATTCCCCGCAGCTTGCCACTGGCCTTACGGATGAGTTGGAGAAGATGTCCCTTGAATGCCCTGGCAGTGCTAGTGCTGGGGAGAAGGCTCCAACAAAACCAAGCGCCGCAGCTACCTCAAACGTTGTGGAAATCTCAGACTCGCCTGTGAAGCCCCTCCCAGAACCTTCCAAGAAGCCCATCTTTGGAGATGATTCCCGGGCAGAGCGTCTGAAGCGTATCGAGGAGTTGCGGACTTTCGGCTGCAATCCAGGTACTAGTAGCTAATAGGCGTTCCAAGAAGGAGGTTCAGGGACTAGTTGTGATGCGATTGGCCTGGATATGTAACATTCCGCCGAGGTACGAAGCATGGCACTGATGGGTTAGATTTTGGACTATCATTAGGGGCTTCGTGTTCTGACTTCAGTGCTGCCTGATTCAACGCTCCGAGGTCCGTGTTCTCTGGTATGCCTGATTGGTTGATCGATGCATGAAGCTAGCAACGAAAAAGATCAGGGGTGGGGAAGGTACGGTGTAGTCTGTGGCAACAGTTTTTTGTGCTTGCGGCGGTTGTCGTGGCACTTGCGGTGTTGCTGCTGCTGTTGTTGTTGTTGTTGTTGCTGCTGTTGTTGTTGTTGCTGCTGCTGTTGTTGAGGTTGTTGTCCCAATTTCTTTGGATAATGCTTGTGTACGGGGTGTGCGTGCAGCACTGTATTCAGTATTCACATTGTCCATATAAAGTTGAAAATCGCCTTTCAGACATGTCCCCCCAAACAAATTTTAAGTTTAACGAAGCTTATTGCTCATGATGCTGCTGGCTCTTGGCGGGCTGCTGGGCAATGACCATGACGACCGCGACCACGACCACGGCCACGACTGCAACAGCAATGACAGCAACACCGCCACCAGCAGCAACAGCCATGGCAATGGCAACAGCAACAGCAACAGCAACAGCAACAGCAACAGCAGCCTCAACAGCAACAGCAACATCGACGGCGACAACAACAACAACAACAATAACAACAACAATGACGTTGCTGGTGGCAGCGGTGGTGGTGATGATGATGCTGATGGCGCTAGTGTGGATGGCAGAGGATTCAGGTCTATGAACATGCGCTAGCAAGAGTGATGCCAGGTCAGTAGTTGGTGTGTGTGAATTTACATATGATGCGCATGACGCCGGAGGGAGGAGTGAGAGGAGTGTTGCTGCGGTAGTTTGCTGCTGCTGCTGCTGCTGTTGCTTAGGCGCTGGCCGTGGCCCCTGCAAAAGGCGTGCTTGTCCAAGTGGTGGTGAGGCTGCTGCGCTTTCTGCTGTAGGGGCTGTTGTGGGGCTGTAGTTAGGCTAGTGTGTCTAAGAGCTGCTGCTGACAACGAAAGTATTTCAATGAACGTTGTATACCGCGTATATACACACAGATGGTTCTTGCCGTTGTAGCTGCGGATGGTCACGTTGCGCTTGCTTAGGTGAGGTTAGAGAGGCTATGGGTGAGTGAGGCGGGTCCAAAAAACTTCTGAGTAATTGATCTGTTTATAGATTTATATTGTCATGGGTTTATATCAGTGCTCTTGGAGACCATGTTCTCTAGGTTGTGTTTTTCAGTAGTGATGGGGCCGAGGAATCAGATCGCCAAGCGGCGCAGGACTGCAGCCTGCGCAAGACCTTTGGCAGGTCACACGTTGCCATGGGTGGGAACTGCCGAGGACACATTGCCATGCGACATGTCGCCCATTGCCAGGAATCTGCAGTCTGCGTTTGATGCAGCCAAGAATCCCCATGAGCCCTCAGTTGAGCCCCTGGTGGAGGCCCAGCCTGCGAAGACCATTGAGGCTAGCCCCAAAGACACCCCTAGCAAGGATGTTTTCCATAACGAGACCCCGCTGTCACGTGAGCAACAGCTAAAGCTTCGGGATGACATGAAGAACGTAGGCCCGCAGCATGAGGATGAACAGGAGCAGGATGCATCAGAGGATGAGGCTGTGAAAAAAAGGCCAAGCGCCAAGCAGCAGGGTAGGGGCAGGGGTCGCGGAAGGGGTCGTGGTCGTAAGCACAGTTCCCAGGAAGATTGCAAGAACCCTGTTTCCTCAACGGTCGAGGTCTCAGCTGGCGAGGAGCCAGGAGATGACCCAATTGCCCTCGAGCTGGCAGATGAGGCGGCTCCCAGCCCGAAAGCCAAAGCGAAGGCCAAGAACAAGCGTTCGGCCTCCGATGATCCGGGTGCTAGGCCCAAGGCCAAAGCAAAAGCGAAGGCAAAAGCGAAGGCAAAGGTTAAGGCAAAGGTTAAAGGCTGTGCCAAGAAGGCAGGTGAGCCGGAAGCCCCGGCCAATCAGGAGTGCAGCGAGCATGACGAGGGCCAGGGCGATGAAGAAGCACCTGCTGCAGGAGCAGAGGTCGTTGAGAGTCCTGAGGGTAAAGCTACCTTTGCTAGGCGCTACAAGCCTGCTAAAGACCTTGCCGCCTGTCGTCGGTGGATTTCAATGAGAGACACCTACAACCTCAAAGTTGCCCCCAAGCTTGTCCGGCCGCTGGCCCTTGAGGTGTGGTGGCATGAAATAGCTCATTATAGGCGTAGAGCCCAACCCTGGTTTTATCTCCACTTCCTGTTTGTTTCCCTGAGGATGCGTTCTGGAAGCATTGCATGGAGGACTTGAAGGGCAATAGGGGAGACGATCCTCGTGCCATCCAGAAGATCGTTGACAAGGCGACCGTCAGTTTTCTTGCGCTGGAGCTGGTGCAGGGCCTCTAGGCACTGCTGATGCCATTGTTGATTTACTCCTGCGCGGTTCAGTTGGTGTTGGGGGCCTTTCCCAGGAATTGTAGGACGGCGTTCTTTTGACACGCTGCTACTTGCTGGGACACAACAGAGACGAGTAGCCGCCCCAACTTTGAGCTAAACGCGCGCATTTTTGTAGATACCTGGTCCATCATAGTCACTTGCTGATAGTGTTTCGTGAAGTTGCCTTTTGTTCTATTCTGGAGTCCCCTCTGTAAGCTCCTCTTTCCCCTGCTATACCCAAGCTTTTCAAGCCCAGGTTTGCTGAAAGTGTGAGCTGCTTGCGACGGGCAAGAAGCTGTGGATGACTATTCGAACATAGTCGCATGGGTGTGGGCGTGCGTTCAGTGATTCCCCGCAACATGGTTCTATGTACTCAATAGCTGGGGGATGTTGAAGATAAAAGTTACAGGGGTCCCCAACACTGTTGCCAAATCATTGCGATGCTTGACCACAAGCACCTGGCTTTCCTAGAAGCCGTCATGTGAGCCTGGCGTGACTCATGCCGGATTTGGGGTAACCTGCGCCTCCTGAAATTTAACGCAACGCAGTCTGAGATCATGCCTGCGCCCAATGATAAAACATGATGATGCAAATCTGCAACGCAAGCTGTGCAGAAGTTCTAGACTAGCGTCGGCCGCAAACACATCAGCTCGCGCACCTCAACCGAAGCAACCTCTTTTACCTACCATTCAGGTACTGATGAGTCGCGTGCTTCATCTGCAAGCTCGCTATGGCCTGTGTGGAAACCAGGCAGCCACATCTGATCCAGGTGCCTCCCTAGCCGTGCTCACGCAATTCATGAGACAGCTGTTTACGCAACACTGAAACTACATCCACCCATTTTCTTGTTGAGAATGACTTCCACAGGGATTGCTTGAGCGTCACTACAGGCCATGCTCACTCAGCTAATCCTGGTTCAGAATGTAGGGCTGTGTTCAGGAAATCCAGGCTATGACACCATGATCACACGCACACGCGCAAGAAGACGTGAGCTTGTGGTGGACCCCCTGCCCTGTAATTGTGGCCAGGGATTATAGTGATTCTATTGTAATAGGGCCTTCTTATATTCCTATCATGCCACTATTATAGGGTTGGGGGTCTTCCTAATGTAATGCTATAATTATCAACACTTCAAAACTGTTTTGGGATCACACACATGGGAGACTTGACTGGATCCTATTAAACACATCTAGACGTGACTTGGAGGTCAGGGGGCTTGGCAGGTGTATGTTATTGGGGTTATTATTGATGTAGTGAGATATATACATGTATACATATATAGGGACTATCAAGTACATTAAAGTCACCCTGTGCCTCCAAGCAAACCCTGTGTAGTGCCCACTCAAGCATGGAGCAGCTGCCCCCAAAATATCAGAGAGCGATCAGCCGTTTGATGTGGCTCCGCGCCCCAAAGGCAACCTGTCAGAACTGAGCTTTGTATAGCGATTTGGATTTTCGCGTTGTTTGCTCATCATGATTTGTTTGCTTAAGCTGCTTAATCTGAGGACCTGATAGAAATCATTGTGCTCTTGGGTTTCCTCGCAATCCCTGGACTTCATGATGATGCTATGTGCCGCGAATACCAAGTAATAGAATTCTTTGCCGGCGGGGCCAGAAAATCTCGTCTAGCAAAAGGCCTCAGGCTCCGATCTGTGGCCCTTGATCGAGACTTTGGTGCATCCATGGATTTGAATACCCCAGCAGGATTCTTGTTACTTGTCTCTATAAGGGTGAGCTTTCAGCATCTGTCAGGTTTGCTGCATGCTTGGGGGGGGTCATCTTGTCAGTCTCCAGGCTACATTGCGCTATTCTGCTGCAGTCCGCGATCCGAGATGCCATGCTTCTTATGGGAATCTGCTGTTCTACTTACGTGGCTGTCAACCGGGGTGCTAGCCAGCGGTGCCCGTTCCTTCCACTTGGCAGTCCTAGTGCCATTTCTGTTTACCGAGCAAACAAGTTGACAAGCAGGCAGGGAGCAGGGTTTGCACTTTGCGCACTAGTGTGCATATAGACACAAGACAGAAGGGCTAACTAAAATGAACCCAGTGCCTCCAGATCCATGATGCTATCTATTCTCGGGGTGGCGCTGGAGATCGTTCCTGTCATTGAAAACCCGGGCTCGACCCTTATCCATCACCATCCGCGATTTCAGTGGATGGTTCGGCTTCTACGAAAAAGAGGAATACGAGAGCCTCAACTTAATTCACAAACCCCCGTGATGGAGATGCACTTGTCTTGGTTTGTAGTATCCCTCAGGTATTTCGACTGGCCTTCTGGCTGAAAAGATGGGGGCATTCTTGCCCCAAGCGCACAGTTATATGGTCAACGTCCCCAACTATTCAAGCTTTCTTCAGTGGTCGGATGCGCAAGATGGCCCTCACTTCTACTGTGCGCACCAGCATAAAGTACAAGAACCGTGATGGCCGCTCTTGCTGGAAAGGGTCCCCCGAGTTGAAGTCAACGCAGCTACTGGACATGTGTTGTAAAGTGTTTTACGAAAGTTGGCGTATGATCTTATTCCCAGCACATAAACTTGTACACAATCATCAGCCCAGGTTGTACCCGGTTGCCTTCTGCAGCAAGTTTCTGAAGATCCGGACAGAACTCGTTGATCAGGGTCCCAGGATTCCAGAGGCAGGCTCCTGATGGCTCTAAATTGGGGCTTCGTTGACATGGGCTCGGGTAGGAATTCTACTTAGGACCAGCCATAGAGGAGCGTGTTGTTCCGACAAGGCCCGCGTAGCCTATGGCGCCCAAAACATAACACTCAGGGTTTTTAAGGCTCCAGGATTGCAATTTTTGTTGGGATTCACATTATAAACCTTGAAACTGGTGCGCATTGCCCCTAAATCTGCAGCGCGCAATTATTCTTATTTACCTGCTTGTCATTTGGGGGAATCTGCAGCACGCACTTAGTCGGATTTGAGAAAAAGGTAGCCAAAAAATTGTGTGCGCGCGCGCGCACCCAAAAATTTTGCTACGTTTTCAGTCATAAAGGCAGACGCTGGGGGGTTTAGACTATATGGCTTCTTGTAGTGCATTGAGAAGGTCTTGAAATCTTGTGTACGGGTCGTCCAAGATTGTTGGGGGAATTCTCCTAAAGAAAATCTATTTTAAGGTGCGTCTATATCCAACTTGTAGAGACGTGACACAGGGTCAGTCCTGGCTACAGGTCAGACTATGTGAGCCCCCAAAGTCCTAAACCCCAAACCCCAAACCCTATACTAAACTCCTCAACCCTAAACCCTTGCATCCTAAACCCTATATAACCCAATATCAACCCTATAGCCCTAAACCCTATAAACCCTATAAACCCTATAAAGCCTAAACCCTAAGCCCTATACAGGTCCTGATGGATTGTGATGCTCCTTCCCTCGCAAGCTTGCTGGCATCGCTGCCAGATGAGACCGCAGGAGATGATGCAGAACTTTACAGCGTGTACGATTACGCACGCTGCTCAAAATATCTGCAGCTTCCAGATATCTTGAAGACAGTGCTCCCTGTGCGCTAAAGTGTAATCTGGGCAGACAGCTCGAAATTAGGAATTGTGTTGCGTTTCATTGGCGCAGCTTGGTCGGATGCAACTGTGCATGGCGATCTGCGAAAAAATCAGGCAGTGCATGGGATGATTGCTATGTCTTGCCGACAACGTTTATATACAAGAACTTTCTGGCCAGAATTGCCCTGAACTGTCCTGAATGCTGCCCTGAAATAACCTGAAGTGCAGCCCTGCAGCCCTGAAAAAGGCTTCAAATAGATTCGAAAATAAGCCTACACGCCCTGAAAACACACCCAAACTGTGCATGTGCAGCAATTTTGCCCTGAAAGAACAGGCGTTTTTACCCGTGATTCAGGCGTAATTTCCCGTGCTCAGGCGTTTTTACCCGTGACCGCCAAAAACTGCCCTGAAAACGATAGTGGGTATCCTTCATTTATAGGTATTGTAAGCACTTCTTTCTTGGGCTCCCATGGCTTTGCGAAGCAAGCTTTGGTCCTCTGAAACGCTGGAGGGAGGTCTCAACCTGGCACGAATGGCTACGCTTGGGATAGAGAAGGACCCCGAAATGGTGGCCATGCAAGCCGAGCTAAGTGCTACTTGTTGATTCATTGTGTCCGACTAATTTGCTAGTTGGGTGTTCAAAGTCTTCCACGTAGCAATCCAGGTTTCATGTAGCAATTCATGTAAAGACAGTCACTTTCCCAGCTAGCGCGCAAGAGAGGGTCATGGGGCTTCCTGGGGCTACACCCAAAAGTAAGCAGCTACTTGGGGTGGTACCTGCTGAAACTGTAGCTCTCAATCCAAGTATATACATGTTGCAAAAGCTATATCGCCGATCGTCCCCTAGCAGATCCCGGAGCATTCCCAGTAAGTGTAAGGTGCTGTGTTAAGAATTGTTGCTTCGCCAACCATCTCTCCAATGCCACGGCTAAGGCTTTGAAAGAAGAGCTTTACAGTTCGACCGGCCCAGTCGTGGACGCTGTGCTTGATGATCTAGATGACGACCGTCTTCTGCAGCTTCTGCAGTCTGAAGAGGTCTCTGGGTTGTGGAATGTGCTGCCCCAGCTAGCCCTAGCGTGTGTACAAAGTAGAATCACCTGGTGAATCCCCGAACTCAGGCTGCGCTGGAAGAAGGTCAAGCAGAGATCAAGCGCGAGGTTCCTGCCCCCCTGAACTGCCAAGCTCCCAAGCCAGACCCACGCTTGTGCTGCGGCATCTCCCAAGATGCCCAACCAGTGTTGCCGCCCGAGGAGGATTCTTTCCCTGAAGCCCAAATGGAGCCAGCGAGCGAGAGTCAGGAGCATGCAAACAAGCAGCATGATCAGGGCACAGAGCAGACACAGGTTGAGGAGCAGAACTTGCACCAGGAAGCACACCGCACGCAGGATGAGGAGCAGAACACGCGCCAGGAAGCAGACCTCACACAGGGCGAGGAGCAGAAGGTGCTGCAGGAAGC